TTTTATATAGCAACTATTGGATGATTATCCTAAATGTTTCATTGTGGGTGCAGACAATGTTGGTTCTAAACAAATGCAACAAATCCGTATGTCTCTTCGTGGAAATGCAGTGGTATTAATGGGAAAAAATACTATGATGAGAAAAGCAATTCGTGGTCATATTGAGCGTAATGCAGCACTTGAGAAACTTCTTCCACATATTCGTGGAAATGTTGGTTTTGTTTTTACCCGTGGAGATTTAATTGAAGTGAGAGACAAACTCTTAGAAAATAAAGTCAGAGCACCAGCTAGAGCAGGTGCCATTGCACCATTGAGCGTAATTATTCCTGCTCAAAATACTGGTCTTGGTCCTGAAAAAACCTCATTCTTTCAAGCTTTGAGTATTCCAACTAAAATTTCTAAGGGTACTATTGAAATTATTGTAAGCATATGATTGAATTTTTATATTTAATTACAGTCGAATCTCAAAAAAAATACAGTCAAAATCTTCGAATTATAATATAGATATTAAAACAATTTTTTTAATAAGAAAAATCTAATAAATAAAAACAGAGATGCATAATTTTTAATATTGCATAAGTTTTAATATTTTTCTATTTACAAGAGTTAAAGGAAAGAAAAATTCACAAATATATTTTATTTCTGTATAATTGAAACAATTGTCATATTGTTATTGAAAAAAAAAGAATAGTAATTTAATAGAATGGTTAATAATAATAGGTTATAATATATAATTATGAGAGGTGTGAGAATCTAAAAGTTTTTTAACTTATTCGATGTTCGGAATTAATCGAATTCCGAAAGTATCTCATAATTTTATTATCATTAAAAATATCAGAATGTTGAGGAATTGAATTGTTTTAGTAATACACTTGCTCACAAAATTAAAAGAATAGTTTTGAAATCAGAAATTTTGATAATTTCGAATTACGAGATGTTTTCATAATTCGATCATGAAATGAATTCAAATCCGGTTGATTTTCAGGTTTCCGCATGTCTTTAATAACTATTTATAGTTATAGAATATATATTTATAATTATAGAATGAAGTTTTAGAATAATAATAATAAAAATTTGAAATTTTAAAATCGAATTATAAAAATAAAATGTTTCTCAACATATATTAAATAATTTGACTCATAAAGTTTATATTTTGATAAGAAATTTCTTTAATAAATTAAAAAAGAACAAAATTATAATCTTACTGAGACTCGACTTTATATTTTATATTTTTTATATTTAAGTATTTTTAATATAAGTATATAATTAATATATTTTTATGTAAAAAAAATTTATTTTATTATATTTTAGAACGATGTACATATTTTAAAACCAGGTGATAAAGTAGGTGCATCTGAAGCTACTCTTTTAAACATGTTGAATATTTCTCCATTTTCATATGGTTTACTTGTTGAACAAGTTTATGATTCTGGTACTATTTTTGCACCTGAAATTTTGGATATTAAACCAGAAGATTTATGTGAAAAATTTATGGCTGGAGTAGCAAATTTAGCTGCAGTTTGCTTAGCTATTGGTTATCCAACAATAGCTAGTGCACCTCACAGTATTGCAAATGGATTCAAGAATTTATTGGCAATAGCTGCTGTTACTGATATTGAATTCCCAGAAGCAACTACAATTAAAGAATATATTAAAGTATGTAATATTTTTTTAGTCATTTAATGTATGTACAAACTTTTATAAACATTAATATGATGAATGCTCTATCTAACAATCTTATATAATTAGTGTCAGAGCTAGAAATAGCGGAACCCACTGGCACTGTAAGATTTTTGTTGAAAAATGCGTAAAGCGCAGTCTGATAAAAAAAAAAGATATATAGTTTAATCATATAAAATAATTTGAAATTTAATATTAATATGATATTTTTCTAGGATCCAAGTAAATTTGCAGCTACTGTTTCTGTTGCTGCACCAGTTGTGTCTTCTACAGAAACACCTGCTGCAGAAAAGAAAGAAGAAAAGAAAGAAGAATCTGAATCAGAAGATGAAGATATGGGATTCGGTTTATTTGATTAAAATATAAATATACATACATATGTATATGTTTTATGATATGGCTAAATTCATAATTATTTAAATTTTTAAAATATAAAATATTGTAATAAAACATGATTTATAATATATATTGGTCCATTTTATCATTCCTTTTATTTGACTTTTTATATATAATTCTGTGTATTTATTTTTATTTATCGATAAAAATAAATATTATATTATCAAATCAATACTTGATATTAATTATTATTAATCTAAAAAAATTAAAAAATTGTTGAAATGTATATCGAAATTTATTTTATTATGCTAAAAAGTGTAATATATATTTCATTTATAGAAATAATTAATAAATAGTTATAATATTTTTATAATAAATAATTTTAAATACATTATTAAATATCTATTTAAAAAGAATTTATAGTATGTACGCAATAATTATATTGTAAATATTATATAGTAATTATTGTACATATAGATCTGAAATAAATTGTACTTTTATGACGAATTTCAAATGTAATATATAGTATTATATAATATGATAATACTTTTAAAAAAAAATTTTTTTCAAATTAAATTCATTTTATTTATTGCATAATACTAAACAATTATTTTAATTATTATAAATTATTTAAAATATTTATAATTTATAAATTTATTATCCTATTTTTTATTATTTATAATATACATAAATAACCATAAATCATAAATAAATTTAACAACAAGTTCTTATATTACTTGGCTATTAAATTTGTTCTATATTTTAAGGGTTAATCTTTTTAATTATATATATGAATCATCTGAACTGACCAGCAAAATGTTTATAATGATATTAATCAATTAATAAAAGATAAGATAATCTAAGATTATATAAAAAAATTATACGATTATTTTTATCAAATCAGAAATAAAATAATATTAAACTGATATTTCCAAGTATTTCTAGTTACAACGTTCTGGTAGGAGAGCATGATTACCTTGTAGTTAAGTATATATCATTGAAGTGACGGGACATTCGTAAAATACTGTAGTTAATCTACAAAGCATCAATAGTGTTATACTTATCTTATCGAATTTTCATGGTTTTCTGAGTGTGAAGTAAAATTATATCTCGGTATATCTCGGTACAAATCGGTTTGAATCGATCTTCCGCGAAATTTTGTTTTGAGTGTCAAATTTTGAAAAAAAATTAATATTAATTAACCTGTATAGATATGGGATTATTATCCGAAGGAAGTCCTTTAACCTGGGAAGAAACAAAAAATCTTGCTGATCATGTTCGAAAACATGGGATTATTCAGTTTATTAATTTATACAAAAGACTTAGAGATCGACAAGGTGATATACTCAAATGGGGCGATGAGGTAATATTTATTTTGTAACTTCTATATTTTATTTGAGATTTGTAAACATAAATCGTAATTTCATATATTAATTAATATATATTATTTTTTTCTATATTATTTTCATAATTTAAAGAATAATTTAAATTTAAAATATTATGCAGTATTAATTTTTAATATATATTAATTTAAAGAAAAAAAACTAATTTTATGGATAAATTTTTATTTTTAATTTAACATAATAACATTAATTATTAATATTCTAAATTCAATTATAATTTTCAAAAATTAAATTTAAATTTTATTTTATTTGTTATTTATATTATTTTTATTTGGATTTTACTTGGATTTTTATATTATATATTATAACTGAAATATTAATAATTGAAAAGAAACAATAAATAAATGATGCAATCAATTCTAATTATTAAACTATTACAAGATGTGATCTTGACTTTTTTTCAATTAGATCTGAGTTAATATTTTTTGCTGCAACTATGTAATTTATTAATATCATTCAGATAAAACAAAATCAATATATTTTCTTATTTACTATTGTAATTTTAATATTTAGAAAATTTTAACATTTATAATAAAGAAAATTTTTTAAATAGGTTGAATACATGCTTATTAAATTTGATGATGAAGCAAAAATTGCAAAGCTTAGTTTAAGAGCTGCAGAAATATTAAAAACTTTGAACGAAAAAGAATATAATGATCCAGTGTAAGTATTTCATGTTTTTTTCTTTTAAACAAGAGTTTAAATTTATATTATTTATAAATATTGTACATTAAATATATATTTTATTGATTCTTTATATAATAATATTTTATTATTTAATATAATATTATATATGTATAATTATATAATGATTATATAATTTTAATAATTATAAAATAATAAAAAATAATATTTATTTATTTCATAGTAATATTAAATCATTATGGAGACCTGAATATGGTGCTTATATGCTAGAAGGAACACCAGGGAAACCATATGGTGGTTTATTAGTTCATTTTAATATTGTTGAAGCCAACATGAAATATAGAAGACAAGAAGCTTCAAAATTACTGGGACCTAATGAAGTTTTAATGTCTTTAACTAACTTTCCTAGGTATGTAAACTTTTTGATATTTTTAATATTAAATATTTCTATATTATTATTATATACTAATATTAAATACTCTATCATAATTTATTATACTTGATAAAAAGAATTATTAATTTATATATTCTCTTACAGAACAGGAGCATATGATTTCACAGATCCTCCTACACATCCAACTCCAAATTCAGGATCATCAAAAAGTTTGTTTTTTCCGGATGAAGCTATATATCCTGGTCATCCACGATTTAAAACTTTGACAAGAAATATAAGGAAACGACGCGGAGAAAAAGTAGCTATAAACATTCCTAGTATGTATTTATTGTATAATATATATATATATATGTTTTTTTATAAATAAAATAATTTAACAAATAGTATTTTTTTGCAGTTTATAAAGATAAAAATGTTCCAAATCCATTTAAAGAAGATCTTGGTTCTTTAATTGAAGATGAATCTAATTGTGCAGCTAAAGAAGATCATATTTATATGGATGCTATGGGTTTTGGAATGGGATGTTGTTGTTTACAACTTACTTTCCAGGCTTGCAATATAGAAGAAGCAAGAACTTTATATGATCAATTAACACCTTTATGTCCAATAATGGTCAGTAATATGTAAATAATAATTATGTTTTCATAAATTCTGAAGACATGAAGTTAGCATATTCTTTCGCACATACGTTACAGAACATTTGTTTAAAATTCGACAGTTGGCTGTAACTGCTGCTAGTCCATTTTATCGAGGATATATAAGCGATGTTGATTGTCGATGGAATGTGATATCTTGCTCTGTAGACTGCAGAACACAAGAAGAACGTGGACTAAAACCTTTAAAAGAAAACAAATTTAGAATTAATAAATCTAGATATGATTCCATTGATTCATATCTTAGTGTACAAGGAGAAAAATATAACGATGTTCCCTTAATTTATGACGATGAAGTATATAAACAACTTTTAGATAATGGAATTGATAAATTACTTGCGCAACATATCGCTCATTTATTCATCAGAGATACCGTATCTTTATTTTCTGAAAAAGTGCATCAAAATGATTTGGAGGATACTGATCATTTTGAAGTAATTATTATTATTAATTAATTTTAATAATAAAAATTTAATTTTATTTGATTACAACTACTATTTATAAAATTTCAGAATATACAATCAACCAATTGGCAAACAATGCGATTTAAACCACCACCACCAAATTCATCTATAGGATGGCGTGTTGAATTTCGTCCATGCGAAGTTCAAATTACAGATTTTGAAAATGCTGCAATAGTTTGTTTTATTGTTCTTCTTACAAGAGTTATTTTAAGTTATAAATTAAATCTGCTCATACCAATTAGTAAAGTTGATAAAAATATGGCTCGAGCACAAAAGAGAAATGCTGTTACAGCAGAAAAATTTTGGTTTCGAAAAGATATTACATCAGATATAAAAAAACAAGATGATGGACAAACAGAATATACAGAATTTACTATTAATGAAATTATCAATGGGAAGGTATTAACATTTTTTCATTAATTTTTTCATTTTTTTCAAATAATATTAACAAAAGTTAAAAATGCTCTATAATAATATTTTATAACAGGATGGTGTTTTTCCTGGTTTAATACCTTTAGTAAATTCATATTTAGCCAGTATGGATGTAGATGCTGATACGCATTGTACTGTACAAGCATATATGAAATTAATACAAAAAAGATCTTCTGGAGAGTTATTAACAACTGCTGCATGGTTAAGGAAGGAAGTCCTTTCGCATCCAGAATATAAGTACGTATTTTTGTATTTCTAAATATAGAAATTTTTATTGTATTTTTAATCTTATATTGCATTAATATAGATACGATTCCGTAATAACACAACGTATCAACTATGACTTATTAAAAAAAATACAAAAAATAGTATCTAATGAAATATCATGTCCAGAATTACTCGGGACGTGTATATCATCTAAAACTAATGAAACTATACCTGCAGCAGTTGCAAAAGCAGAAAAAGTTCCAATGTGAATTATTGTTGTTAATGGTAATGGTTTAAATATACTTAATATATGTGTGTGTGTATATATATATATTATATATATATATACACATATATATAAATAGATATATGATGACTTAAATAGACTACAATTATTTTAAATTTAATTTTCGTTTATTTTACTACACTTCAAATGTTCTTGTACGTACTTAAAATAATATATATTTACATATAATGATTTAATGATTTTTAAAAACAATAACATTCCATAAAATAATGTTATTCTTAATACATAAAGAATATATACATTTGTAAAAATACCAGTTTTTTTATAGAAGGAATTATTATGATATAAATATAAATTATAATGTTTATATAATTAAATATAAATAATAATTACTAAAAATATATATCAATTCAGAAAATATACAAACTATATATATATATATATATATATATATATATATATATATATATATATATATA